CTACACTACAAGGACAGGTCAATCTAAGCCGTGCAATTTGAGTTGCGTTAGTCGTGTAACTCAAATAGACATAGGTTAGATCAGGGCTACTCAACACCTGCTTGTTTGCGGCCCATGGTGCAGTTTGGGTTTATGTGGGACTCAACATCCTTTGAACATGGTCTCCACTGGGAACACTCTCCACGCTGGCGAGGCATCTTCCAGGTGGGGTGAGCATTGAAAGATGCAAGTGGACGGGCTGGCTGGAACAGATGGGTACAGGGTGTTGGCGTTTCTAAACCAAAGGGAGGAGGTGCCAGGAGCACTGGGGTATTGTGGAAAGTGCTTTGTATTCATGCCCTTCAGTGAATTAAGAAGCTATTTGCATATATTTGCATAAATATTTACATGTATATGCAACCACACTTAAGTTGTGGCCATTGGCATATGCTGTGAGTATCATTGTGGCCCCCCGGGCTTCAAAAGTTGAGTAGCCCTGGCTTAGATCTGCTCACCACAGAGGCCAGACTGTAGGGGGTTGGACAGAAAAAGTTCTCCTGTTGACTCCTGTTCTGGTGGAATTCCAGAGTTGATGAGAGAGTGATGGGCAGTCGATTTAGTGGATCTTGTGGATCAATCACTGCAGCTTCAATCCACCCCACAGTAGAGACAAGCCCATAGACTTTAAGGCCAGAGAAGACGATTATGATCATCTAGTCTGCTCTCCTGCATGTTACAGGCCACAGACCCTCACCCACCCATGAAACGTTTCCTTTCTTGCCATTCCACTAAGCTGACTTCTAAGTATTTGGCTCAGGTACTCACTTGGCCCCATTACTGCATTGCCTGAGCATCTTGCCATCTTGGGTGTATTTATCTTCCCAAACCCGCAGGAGGCAGGGCTGGGTTGTTATCCCTGTTGTGCAGACGGGAATGGGAAGCCCTTCTCCCAAGTCTCCGGCTAGCATGGAACCTCCGGACCATCCCTTTATTCAGAGAGAGGGGCCTGAACCAGCAGCTGGCCTGTGCACTGCCCCATGGGAAGTGGTTTGGCTGTGCTGCTACACTGGGCTCCTGTCCACAGGAGATGCTGTGACTCAGGGACAGTGACAGCTGGGCCTCCAGCTCAGCGTTTGGGTCTCCTCAGTCTGGTGGAGGATCCAGCCCAGCTTCCATCACCTGGCTGCAAAGGCAGGGACAAGATGGCGGGAGACCTGGTTGTGGAGTTGTGTGTTGTGCCATGTAAATAAATGGCATGGACTCACCCCCTCACCCTCCCAGAGCCACAGACACGCACTGTTTATGTAAAGAGGGGATGGGGAAGCCAGCCATTGATGTCACAACTGTGGCATTCAAGGTAGCTGGCACCAAGCCCCGACTGAGAGGAGGGGGGCTGAGGGAGAGAGACTTGGCTCCACTTATAGAAGAATTACTGGAAGCCAGTTTCTATAAGCAGATCCCCATTAAAAAGGCAGCACTGGAGTAAAATAAAGCCTCCCGCCACTCTGGGGGAGAGAAACAATGGCCTCTGGAAAAAAACAGGTGGTAAAAATAGAAGCAAGGCCCTCCCCATCACAGGCCAAGGGGACCAACCGGCTGGGGTTCTGTGGCCACCCACACAGTCATATTTACTGGCTTGCCTCGTGCCATCGCATCAGGACTGGTCTTGTAATAGGAGTGAGTTATTCTTAAGAGGCTGGCGTAGACTTTTTGGCAGTTAATTTCCAGTAGCTCCTGATAAGATCATCTGGTAAAGGCGGGGCCTGTAGATGTGCGGGACTAGAGTTGCCAGCAATCCTGTATTACAAGGGACGTCCCGTATTTAAATAGAATATTGCCTATCCCGTACTCAGTCAGTCTGGGACGCCTTGTGTCCTGACTTTCAACGGATCACAAATATTCTCATTATGCAAAACCAGGTTTATTATTCCCTTACCGTGATAGTGTTTGCGAGTCGCCAATGCAGTAGTGCAGGACCAGCCCCATGACTTACTGAGCCAAGGTACCATAGCCCAGAGGTCCCCAAACTCTGGGGCATGGTCTCCTGGGAGAGGCACAATAAGGTTATTGGGGAGCAGGAAGACCTGAGGGGGCCATGTTGAATGGCTGGTGTCAGGAGGGGCTCTGTCTGGGAGGGAAATGGACAGGGCTCTGTTCAGGTGCTCTCAGCTGCCAGAACAAGGCTCCCTTCCTGCCTCTTTCCCCCACTGCTGCAGCAGCCACCAGCCAGCTGTTATGATCTTCTGCTGGGCATGCTGACAGAGACTCTGTGCGTGGGGAGGCTATGCCCTGGGTACACTGGCCCCCCCCCCCCCCCCCCGCACGGCCACGTCCCCCCCCCCCCCCCCCGCCAGATAGAGCCTGTTCCTCAAATCACCCCAGCCCTTCTATGCAGCTCCAGGACACACAGCCCCAGCCAGCCAGAGCCTGCCCGGGGAAAGCAGCCAGAGCTGCGCTCAAGGGCTGGAGTCAGCAGAAGACCCTGGCCAGCGAGGACCAGGACTCGTGTGTAGTTCTCCACGCCCCTCCCGAATCTGGCCCTTTAGCGCTGCCCTGTTCAAGCCCAGAGCTGGGTCCCAGCAGCCCAGACTCCCGGGGAGTGGAAGGTTTCCTCCACTGCCCTGTGGTTAGCAATCCCTAACCTGAGTGGAGGTGGGCACCCCACTGCTGGCCCCATGGCCACAGAAAACTCCTTCCCCACAGCGGAGCTAAGAAAACAGGCCCGTACTTTTGACATGCAATGTTGGCCACCCTATGTGGGAAGTTCTGCCCTCGATCACAAAGCCTGCAGCCCACCCTCTAGCAGCTCGTCAGAGCAGGGTCAGCGTGAGGGTCTCTGGGGAAAAGTCAGGCTCTGGCTGTAAGCAGGACTTGGTAGGGGGGCAGTGTTGTGCAGATGCTCCTGGGACAGTACTGGGAGAAGGGTCTAGAGCTGTGGTGTCAACCATTCCTGAAGCAGTAGCCATTATAGTGGCTATTGCTATAGCGAACTAGCCAAATAGCCACATGTGGCTAGTGTATTGGATACCACGGATCCAGAGGGTCTCTCTGTTAAATTCTCCATCCCTTAGCTGTGGTTCATGCTCGGCAGTTTTCCGTCCTGTCCTTGGTAGGTTGGTATTTTGGAGGCAGTTTTCAAAGTTGATCCCTGCAGTTTGAAATGTGAAGCCAGATTTAGGAGACCAACTGTAGGCCCCCAAGGTTGGTGCAGATTAATGCCCCCGGCGTCCATGTTTTAGGCCCCCAGGACTGTCTTTAAACTAAAAAGTTGGCAGAATGATCTCACCCCAGAGCTCTTGATCCAGCGCATACAGGGCTATGTGGGGGAAGTGCCCTGTGAATGTCACAAGTGGCCAAAGCTTGGCTAGGAGGCCGCAGCGCGGCTTG